GTAGTAGTAGTAGTAGTAGTAGTAGTAGTAGTAGTAGTAGTAGTAGTGGTAGTAGTAGTAGTAGTTGTTGTTGTTGTTGTAGCTGTTGTTGTTGTTGTTGTTGTTGTTGTTGTTGGGGTTGTTGGGGTTGGGGTTGTTGTTGTTGTTGTTGTTGTTGTTGTTGTTGTTGTTGTTGTTGTGGTTGTTCTTGTTGTCGTTGTTGTGGATGATGTCGCAATTGTTGTTGTAATGTGGTTGTTGTGGTTGGGGTTGTTGTTCTTGTTGTTGTTGTTGTTGTTGTTGTTGCTCTGTTCTTGTCGTTCTTGTGGTTGTGGTGTTGGTGGTTGTGGATGTGGACGTGGGTGTTGTGGGGGTGGTGGTGGGGATGGTGGTCTTGTTGTTGCCCCAGCGCCCGCCCACAATGCAGACGAAGAACCCCGGTGAGGCACGCATTTCCAGCATTTTTTGGGCCTATGTTGGGCCTATGTTGAGCCATGTTGACCCATCTTGAGCCCCAAGAGCGAAAAAGTTGAAGAAGCAGAAAACACTGTAAAACACACGATTCCTGTGGGGTCGGCGGTAGGGGCGGGACTCCACTCTCTCCTTCGGAGAGGAGAGATGCCTACGGCAATGACACGGCCATGGCGGGGCCCCTTGGGCCCCTGGCCGGATATACGCTCGCCGCCCCTGCCGCCGACCCTTTTGTTGGACCGCGGGGATACCTCCGCCCGACCCCCGCCCGAATCCGGTCGACAGAGTTATATGTATCTTTCCAAAAATGTTCAAACACATCGTGTTTTACAGTGTTCCGTGGCCTTCGGCGTCCACGACTTTCGCCTAACAGGGCGCCCGTGGTGTCGGTTATGCGTGCCGCGCGGACAGGCTTAATCGACATTTCGTGGGTGTTGGGCACATAAGTTGTCTAACATATCCCCAACATAGGCCCAAGATAGCCAACATATGCCCAACATAGCCTCCAAGATGGCTCAACATAGGGCCAACATAGGCCAACATGGGGCCAACATACGCCAACATAGGCCCAACATAGGCCCAACCTAGGCCAACATAGGCCGACCTAGGCCCAACATAGGCTCAACTTGGGCCCAAGACGTGCCCAACATAGACCACATGGGCTCAACTTGGCCCAACCTAGGGCCAAGATGCGCACCAGATAGCTTAACTTTGCTCAATACAGGCCCCACCAAGTCTCAGAGAGAGAGAGAGAGAGAGAGAGGGAGGGAGGGAGGGAGGGAGGGACAGAGACAGAGAGAGAGAGAGAGGACCCAGCCCTGCACATACCCAAGGCCGGCGCCGGCTGTCAGGCGTAAGCCTCATAAATACTGGAAGCTCGAAATCCTGGCGAGCCAACCGACCAAGGAGCCAAGAGCTGCATGGTGGATCCCCCGTGCAGAGGGGTTCTGGTTGATCCACCTTGGCTTTCAAGATACAGTCATATAGTCTAGAGATCTGACAAGTTCGAGATCTGCAAAAAATAACAACATCTATTAAGTAACAATATCATGTAAAAATATTTGTATAATCATAGATACTATGTATACATGTTAGATGTTCCTTTGTTTACCTCACGAGATCGACACTGTGTCAAGGCCCTCCACCCTCGAGCGCCCTCAAAGACCAAAGAAAGATGAAGTCCTTATTACCGATAGGGCAGCTCGAATGGCTTCAGGTTTTGGGGTCTTTCCACACGTTTGCCTGGCCATGACAGGTCCTGAGCCGTTTGGCAGCCCAAGTGGATGTCTTCCTGGAGCCTTTTCGCCCCGGGGCGCTCACCTGAGATTCGTGGGGAGGGACGATGGACACATAGGGAAACCTTGTAGTTTTTGTTTGCCTCATTATATTTCATTATATATTACATATTTATTGTTTTTTTGGGTATTATATTATGTTACATTATATTATGTTACATAATTATATATATATATATGCATGTATATATATATATATATGTATACACACTTGTGGCAGTGGTGTTTCTTCTCGTCGTTGGGTTTGAGTTATAGTGGTTCAAGTCTTGGTGCAGCCTAGCTGATTTAGAAAGTATCCAAGCCAAATGAACTTAGTGGGCTTAACTTAGTGGGTCTCAACCTGACTGAAACTTCACAGCCAGATGAACAATGAAACCAATAGACTGGTGAATCCACCAAGACAAGACCCAAAGTCGACCTGTGTCACATGGATTCCAGCCTCCAAGGTGGTCGAGAAGCTTGGCATCGGCCCAGAGGCGCCGTTCGGGGGAACCCTCCGGAAGCGTCGCGCTGGTCTCTGTGTATAGTTCCATTCCCAGGGTCCACACACCAGAAGGAGTTGGTCCATGGTGGTTATGTTGGCTTCGGTCCATCCCTAAGTAAGATCATGTGAGAGCAAATGTCCTGAATTGGTCCATTGGACATCATTCGACTACAAGTTGTTGGGATGGTTTTCAACCACCAAACAGAAATGACTTGACCTGGAAAATGGGGCATATCTTGATTCCAATACAACAACAATAAACAGCACCTTCAGTTGAGTGCCAAACTGAAGCACACAGATGGTTACACGTGTTGAAATTGACAAGCATGTTACATGTTTGGATAAAGTCTGCATAACTGTGTTTCTCAGTTGCTAAGCTACACCTGAACCTCCTATACAGAACTGTCAACGTCGCATGCCAACTGATCGATTGTGCCGCAAGACTTATCAATGTGCCAACCTTTTCCAGACATGATGTTTTTCTTTGACCTTCATGATTGCTTTGGTGAGCCTTGAAACCTTTCGCAGCTTGCGGTTCCGAGGTTCTTTGCAGCCTGAATCCAAGATTGATCTATGGCCGTATGACAGGATTTTCCTGACGCAACCGAGAGAGAAAGAGAGGGACAGACAGGCTGAGAGAATACATATTTATATATGCACAAATGCTTTGTATAAGCATGGTTGAGCAACTTTTAGACGGGCATGCCTTCACACCAAATCTTTGCCGTTGCTATCTCATATTTCCTTGATTTAACTGATCCATGGTTTGGGGCTGCATTATGTTGCATGAGGTGATTTCAGTCATCAAGTTTGAGGCCAACCATGTTAGAATTTGTGGCAGGATACGGACAGGGCGGAACCGACTTCAGCAACATGGCCGGACACGACAACAACTACATCGCTTTGTCAGGCCGGGCCCGGCCGGCCGTCAACAGGGTGGATGAACACGGCAGTCAGCTTGGGGGGAAGACGGAGACGTCGGAGACCGCAGCCCAGATGGATGGTTTTCCGCAGCCCAGGTCTAAAGGTTTGCAACTCTCAGGTCGGACCTCAGGAGCTCGTTCTGACCAACCAGGAGCTGGAGTCCTGGACACCCCAAAAGGACGGTCATAGTGTGACTTATGCGGCCCGCCGTGACAGCCGGGGCACACGCTGCCCAAACATCAGGCCTTCTGGATTTCTTTCGGCGCGGCGATGAGAAGCCCTTCCCACCTGCCAACTTCGCTGGTGATTATGCGCCTGAGACGCATTCAACACCTAGATCCTGGATTTCAACTTCTGAGAAGGTGTTCGGGGATATAGGTGGCTTTAAAAGGGTCTAACTGCCATTCTGGATCCACACGGAAGCAGACTCCGTGCATCTCTCCGGCAGAGTTCCGGTCGTCTCCGGTCATCCCAAAGTCGCCCAAAGCGGCCGGACGGACCGAGGCTGGCGGTGGCATGATGCTGGCGATGGGGGTCCTTCTGGTGCGATGGGGCGTCCAGCGGGGAAGAGAGCGATCTTTTGGATCCAATTTCGATTGGTTCCATTGTTCCATGTTGTTTTTTTCATGCAGCTGTACGCCTTCCTTAGTCGTGGATATATACTGCATATATAACTAACTATACACTGAGAATATACTATATACATCTATATATATATATAAACAGGAGTCGAAGCAAGTCCTATCCAGAAATGCATTGAAATCTTTATAGGAAAGGAACGTTATCCAAAGTCAGCATTAGCGAGGATTTACAGTGCTTTGAAACTACGACCTCCAAGGAAATAGTTAAAAGAAGCAGGACTTTGCAAGGAAAGAGCGGCTTAAAGCCAGGATGCCCAAGCAGAAGCATTGGTTGAAGGTCAGGTTCCTCAAGAAGAAACAATGTTGGAGGTTTGATTTCCCAAGTGTGGACTCCTCAAGGCCTCAAGGCCATTTACAACTCTAAGACCATCTTTTGAGGTCCCTCTTTGAGGCCAGGATCAGCGAGGAGGAATGGTTCAAGGTCAGCTTCCCCAAGTGAGGAACCGTTTGAGGACGTAACGGCTGAGGAGGAACAACAGTTGAATAGCAGGATCAGCAAGGTGGAACAATGGTTTGGACAGCAAGTTTTTGCAAAAAATGGCTTATTATTTTACTCATACTGTCCTTTCTCAATGAAGACACTGATTTAATGAGTTTAAATTCAATGTGTGTTCCTTTAATGACATAATAATACATAACATATCTTGACGCGTGTGGTTAATGATCCATTTCATGCTTACAATTCCCAAGAATCTATTTTCTTCACAGTGTTTCTTTTTCCTGGCTCTATTTGCAATCCGGAAAGGCTGACCCCACGGGTCGCGACTCACCTCCTGTCGGCTTCCAGGCGCTGCTGGAACGGCACCGCAGCGGCCAGGGCCAAGTAATCGACGCGGCCATGGTGGACGGCGCCAACTACACGGCGCGATGAAGCGCCGCGGTGGGAAGACAGAAGTGAAATGGACTCTTAACTATGACGGATCAGAGTGGCAGAACTGATGTTAAAAGAACATGTATATATAGATAGTTTTTTTTTTTTGAGGATTCATGCTATTCTATATCCACCAACCAAACCATGGTTTACGACATTGTTAAATTATAGGCACTCAACCCGCATCGAATCTTCCACCAAGCGATATTTTGGATTGTGAACTTTTGTTCCATACCATGTCACAGTGATGATCGTATGAACCGAGCCACATGCATGGCAAGTTTTTTTTTTCAATAGAACCTGTTGTTGCAAGACAGTCTGGGTTACCTGATCTAACCAAAAAGCACTAACAACTGAATGGTTGTAATCCACAGTAAAGCATCCATTTGGGGGTGCCACGGTTGTAATATTTTATTGGGAACGCTTGCCCTATGTTCCAAACGAAACGCAGCTTTCGCGTGATTCCCAGAGTCCGGAGGGGAGCCAACTGGCAGGCGCTGCCCCTTTTCAAGTGGAGGGAGACTGGCTTGGTTCCTGCCGGGTGCTTATATTGCTTAGTGGCCGTGATTGATAGACCAAAACAAGTGCCACGCCCACGTGTACAACAGTTTCTGACCCAGCAAAAACTAGACCCCCTTGATAGAGGAGTATTCTGTTCATGTTGTTCGCTTTCATTCTACCCTGATCGAACCATGCCCACTGACTTTGTGTGTCCAAGTCATCATCCGGTTCCAACTGCAGATCTTCCATTTATAGATGTGTCGATTGTTTGACACAGACTTCGAGATCACTATACCACAGACTTGCGTGGATCTGTTTGCTGCTCCCAACCACCTGCATTGATGTGCCCCATTGACACTCCAGTACCCCAGTACTGGTAGCATGCTGAAGGGTGCAAGGAGTTGTGCACAACTATTCGTGGGTCATGCGGAGGGAGTTTTGACCCCATAGCCCGTACCCAGCTATTGATGAAGACAGGGTTTGGGCTGTTATCCGATACATGTTGAATCAAGCTGAGTTCAAAGAGCCTTGCAATAGTCCATGTCATTTGTCGTGTCTTGCATAGTTCCAAGGGATCGAACTGGTCGCTGGTGAGGTCGGACCGGATGGCCATATGGTGGCCTCCGACTTTGTCTTGTGCTGCTTGGACGGAGGGCCACCGACTTGCCCATGTTGCACCATGCGGTTGCACCATGCGGTTGCACCATGTTTCATGGAAGGCAGGCAGGGATGGATCTTTCCATGATTCCATGTGGGGCCATGTGGGAGAGTGGCAAGTTGGAAGAAGCAATTTCATTGAAACTCTTGTAACTCTTGTACACATATACAGGCTAAAGATCCCGGATATGAGGACCATCCAATGGGTGTCCCGTGGAGATCCCTGGATCGTGTCCTTTGGAAGTCCATTCAACGACACTGATCGGATTGCCCTGGGATCGCTGCAGCGCGCTTTGACGCCACCTCAGGTCAGGCCCCTCACTGGTCAGACGTCTACCTGTGCCAGGAGGATCCGGCGGGCCTCTGAGCCAATGGGACAACTGCTTGGAGGGCTTTGGTCCACTGGGTTTCTTGGATGGTCTTCCAACTACTGCAGCTGTAGGAGCCTCACACCGGGTGCGTGCGACGTTTATCCTGCATGTGAAAGAGTGTGTGAAAGCAGCGACCTTCGGCCGAGGCGAAACCTGGCACTCGGCAGTACATGAGTGTTCAGGCTCTCGAGCCCGGGTCACCAGTCATTGGCGAGATCCGGTCGACGGTCGGGTCCAGTGGTGCGTGTCACTCGGGTCAAGCAGGGCGAAGCATGGCAAAGCGAACCCCAAGGGGTTGCCGTGGGGTGCAGACTGGGGTTTGGGAACGACGAATGCTTCTATGCACTGCATCGCAGCTACAAATGGACGGGTTTCAGTTGTTCCTTTTCTTGAAGCCGCTGTCATATACCCACGGCCGATTTCTTGATTGATGTTTTGCCTGACTCCACTCATTGCCTAGAATATCGTCTTGTTCGGGCCGGAATGATCCGGAATGGATGCCCCTGCTGTGTGGCCTAACTTCTGCAGGCCATTGAGCCGCAGTTCTACTCCGAACTCCTCAAGGGCCTTGGGCACGGGTGCCCGCCGCGCCTGGTGGCGCTCGAGCCGAGCTTTAGAGCATCGTCATCGCTGGATCCATACCTAGACACTTCCTATGCATGTGGACAACTGCAGCATTCCCGCCTAACACACCAGGTCGGACATCCCAAAGTGGTGACTTCACAGTCAGTTTCTAGCTAGAGTTTCCATTATGGAACCGTGTGAAACCATGTCCAAGTCATCGATCCATGTTTGAAGGGTCGACCATTCATAGATTATCCATAGATTCATATAGCTGTGTGAATGTCCTCTAAAATTAAACCATGGACCCTCGGGGATCCGGTGTTCTATAAAGGGTATTCTATAGAAACCACTGTTTTTGGTCAAAGTGAACCCTGCTGGGTGCATGGATTTCATAGAGAGGAGTGGATTTTGATGATTGCTCTTATACTCGAAGAATGTAACCCTGGGTAGCTTGATTCTATAGAGACCATTTGATAGAGAATTATCCATGTGTCTTGATTTTATAGAGAATCATCCATGGAATCTGAATCTTAAACTTTAATCATAGAACACATGGGAAGCCAACCACAGTGCAAGAGAATCTGAACCCCCAACACATTCTGCTGGCATTAATTTGCTGGCCATCCGTAGAATCAGGGTTCCAATGGAAAATGCATCCTTTGCTTAGCAACACAAATTGCCTGACTTCCTTCCACTTACTTTCATCATCTTCCATCACCATCAAGGAAATCACCATCACGTGGCTTCTTGAATCTGACGGGCCCCCAAGCACTTATGAACCCAACCGGCGCTCTGCCATCTATGTGAACCAACAGGGCCCCCACACCCAACAGGTGAACTTCCTGCCCGATCTGGCAACACATGTCCTGACCACATTTGACCACCCCGCAAGGGGGTGGGTGGGTGAGTTCAGGGAGCGGGGGATTGATCTATTCATTGTCCTTTCTAAAGGACCAAGAGGACCAAGCACAGAGAGGATGGAGGATGGTCGACCACTGAAACCAAGCAATGATTCAATGATTGTGTTGACAGGACACTCTCCTCCAGTCTGGTCAATGGAGCCCTCCCTGTTGCGAAGATCCAGGATCCCTTTCAATTCATTTCACCATACGGTTAATACGGTTCAATAGGCATTCAAAAAACATCGGATAACTTTAAACCTTGATTGGTTTTCCACAGGACCCACATGTGGAACTTCCTCAGGCAGATCTTCCTCGGTGCCGCCCAGGCTGGACGGCGCCACTCTCCCGGGGCAGTTTGACCGGAAGGCACTGCACGTCGAAATGAAGCGACGAGACCCTGCGGCGGCACGACCAGGGTGTCGGAGTCGTTTGTCCAAGCAACCCACAATGGGAACAATCAATCCCTTGTGCGGATATAATGGAGTCATTGGGTTTGCGGTTTACTAGGTGTTTTGTTTGTGTTGAAATTCACCTCATCCCCATGGACCCCGTAGCGTTGACTCTCAAGGTAGAGCAAAAGGTAGCGCTTACCGGACTAGCAGGGTTAGCTAGGTAGTTAGTACTATTAGTGCTGATCCTGTAAAATACAGGTTATCAGCCGTAGGCTAGCTAGATTAGAGCTATGGACCCGATGGATGACGACGTCCCACCAAACTCCTACGGAAGTGGCTTTGACATAGTTCCGAGTGTGCCCAATAGTTTGGATGCAGTTCAACGGCATGAACAAGCGGTTGCACAAGTGGCTGCAATGGATCCAAGGGTTGCTTCGGAGGTGTACCAAGAGATGCTAAATAGTGGTGGTAGTGTTACTCTTCAAGAGGCGACACAAGCTACCCTAGCAGGTATGCCGTCAGCCACCGTAGCTGGTGCGCCAACAGTAAACAACTTGTTGGCAATGACTCGGCTCAACGTCGTCAACCTGAGTGCAACGCCAAACGACGAAGAACTACGACGGGAGTTACAACAACATGAGTTTTTGCTCAGCGAACAAGCCAGGAGGGAAGCTGAAATCGAGGCATTGCGCTTCAGGAGTATTTACGAAAGAGAAGCTTCCGAATCTATAGCGGCAACAAAGGCTGCCGCAGAGCAGGCAATGTTGAATGTTCAACAAAGGGCCCAACAGCAGGAACAAAGTGTTCAGCAAATGGTCCAACAGCAAGACAATGTTGCAATCAAACGGTTGCAAGGTACATTGGAGGAGCAAAGGGAACATTTTCAGCAGCGGCTAGCTCAGGCGACAGCAGCTCATGAGAAAGTTGTACAGGAAAAGAATGCCACGGCGGAAGATGCTTTTGTTGACAAAATGAGAACTGAACATCACCAGTATGTTGAGCAACAGGAGGCTAAGCTGAAGGCAGCTCTAGAGGCAAAGGATCAGGCAAGACATTCGTCTGCTGAAGAATCCCGGATCGCCATAGAGCTTGACTTCAAGCGAGAACAACTGGACAGTTCGTTAGCAATTGCACAGGCAAAGATCAAAACTCTTGTCAATGAGATGGAGACAACAAATAAGCAATATAAGGTTGATCGGGAAACGCAAGAGCAAACTATAGTTGAGCTTCGCAAGGACAATGCAATGTTGAAGGGTGAAATGGACGAGCTCAGACGTGTTGTACAGTCCTTGACAGACAGGGAAGAGGAACGCAAGGAAGCGGAGCGCAAGGCGCAATCCTCTAGCCCCGTTAAGCCAGGGCCGCAATATCCTGAGCCACTTACACCTTCTGCTCGACAAGACGCTCACCCAATTGGTCAACCGCGATCTTTTGAACCTCTACGCACGGAAGGCACTGTTCCAGCAGCCTTAGACGGTAAGCCCCGTGAGGAAGGCGGATCCCCTATAAAGACGACTATGGATGCAACAGCGTCCACGCGCAACACTGGATTCCCATCAATGTTCTCAGGGACAGGGGCGCCCGCAGCGGAACAGGCAACGGCCTCTACGGACAGGCAACAATTCAAACAACCGGATCCGTGGACGGAGTACATGAAGAAGTCAGCACAATATAACTTCAGTGATGATCCTTTGTACAAAAGCTCCTTTAATCAGGAAGCAACAAAGACTAAGGATGATCGCAAGGACGAAGGGCCGGCTTCTCAGGTAAGAACTCCACAAGACCAAGATTTGGGGGAAATCATCAAGAAGGCCTTGCTAGAAGGGTTTAAGGGCGCTAAGAGCAAAGACTCTGACAAACCCAAGGCAAAGGAGGCTGATAAGATAGATCTTCCCGAATTCCCAAGTCCTGATAGGTACCGCACTTGGAGGGCCGCTGTTCGCGAAGCGATACGGTCCGCGTCCGATGACCCAGACGCTGCGTTCGCATGGGTGCTTGAGGTGTACGCTGTTCGTGAAGACAAAGCCAAGCTTTGTTCCGAATTGGCTGACCCAGGCAAGTTTCGGACCTTAGACACGAAACTACTTGCTGCTTTAACTAAGGTTGCCAAAGGTGAACTGTCTCAGCAGATCCTTAATTATAAGGAATCTGAGGCACAGCAAGGTAGGATCGTCCGTGGTCGTCAGGTGTTGCTCATGTTTGAAGTCCACTTCAAGACCAGTGAAGAAGCGGGTGCACTGTATGGCACTGAGGACCTCCTCAAGATCTCGCTTGATAGCGACGACTTGAAATCCTTTCTAAGAAAATGGGAGAGTGTTCTGACCGGAATGAGTCATGTCCCAGACCCGGCAACTCTCAAGGATTTGTTTTATAGAGAGGTTAGGAAGTCCCGCAAGCTCAGATTTGACCTTGATGTTTATGAACGAGCGCCGGAGGGAAGTAACGACAGAAGCTATGAATTTCTTATCAATTCTGTTCGACGTTACCTTGACAGGGAAAGGCTCAGGACCAATCGCGAAAAGATATCACAATCACACGCGGCAAAGTTCGCAAACCCGGCACCGCACGACAAGCGCACGCGAAGCCCAAGTTATGGCAAACGAAGCACAAAGGGTGACGGAAGCAATCAATGCTATGAGTATGCCAAAACTGGTAAGTGTAAGTACGGGAGCAAATGCAAGTACTCACACGACTCTAGCGCCCGTCCCCGCTCCCTTAGTCGGGAGTCGTCTCGTTCGCGTAGCGCAAGTCCGAGCAGCCGTTCATCGTTCAGGTCAAGCCGATCTCGAAGTTCGTCAAGACACACTTCCCGCTCCAGTTCAAGGAACTCATCAAGAAGCTCCAGTAGAGGGAGGAAATCTGACAAGCCATGCAGGTTCTTTGCAAAGGGTAACTGCAAAAGGGGTGACAAATGCCCGTTTAAACACGGAGACACTGCAACACCAGCCCCGCGCAGAAGGAGTCCCTCGCCCGCAGCTAAAAGGTCTAAGGACAAGAAACCCAAGAAGGACAAAAAGGACAAAAAGAGCAAACGGGAAAAGAAGGACAAAAGTCCAAAGGCCAGTCCATGTATTCAAACAGGTTTCGCAATGTCTTGCTTAGCAGCAACCGCAACTCGGACCCAAAAGAGTAAAGACTACTGGGAATTCTCCAAAGATGGCAATGAGTTGATTAGGCACCATTTGAAGCCTAGGCACAGGTCGTTTCTCCCAACACGTAAATCCTGTCCAGTTGAGTCATCTAGGTTGGAAGACCAGTTTACCATGGTAGTCACTGACTCAAAGGGAAAGAGTAGGACAATCAAGGGTAATTGGAAGAAACACCCAAACGCGAAACAGAAATTTGATTGGACTGGAAAGTCAATTTTCCGTGTTGTGCAAGAGAAGAGAATTCGTTTTGAATTAGAACCGGAGGTACACACCTTTCCTGTTTGGAAGGAAATGTACCGGCATGTAGTGAATAAGAGCAAGAAGCGGAACCTGTTCCGGACCACTGAGGAATGCCCAAAGTCCCGCGAGTGTGACACTAAGGACGCCATTTTGGCAGCGGAGTCACTTAGGCAGATGCTCGTTTCGATGGATACCGAGGAGCCTGCGTGTGATTTCCTTTGTGAACATTCCCCAGAAGGCCCCGATGATTTGTGCTGCACGAAGTGCAGAACAGTCGTCGGAGAACAGGTGCCGTCATGTGCTCGCTTAACAGCGATGCCAAACATGGTTGGTATGGAGAAGTGGCTGGGTGACACTGGCACTGACCAGGACATCGTAGGTAAGGACTCTAAGACAGTCAACAGGGCCACCAAGATATTCAAATCCAACGAACCAATCTCCCTTACTACTGCCAATGGACCTATCACTGCTGACGAAGTAGTAGAGGTGATCTTGCCAGGGTTATGTGAATCCTTCAACCCCTACATTCTCCAAAGTACTCCCTCTGCACTTTCAATTGGTTTGAGGTGCTTAGAACAGGGATATGATTTTGTTTGGGGAAAGGACACTACTCCCATATTTCTTCGACCTGATGGACAATGCGTTAAATTCAAATTGCAAGGTAGGGTTCCATATATTGATGAAACATGTACCCCATTCTCAATTCCTGAATCACTGAGGACTCGCCTTACCAAGGTACTCGATTCCATCCACCAGTTCACCATCGACCAGGGCTACGCCATGGCCAGCCATGAGTCCGAACCCGAGGAAGACCAAGAGGAGGCTGACGAAGCTGGCGTAGATGCCAATGCCGATGATGGACAGGAGGACGAAGAGGACAGTGACCCAGAAGTTGAGGTTCCTTTTGATTTTGAAGACGTTCCCGTAGCAGGGGAGAAGACCGAAGAGCAACTTCGAAAGGAAGCAAAATCAGGGGCGCATCAATTCACACATCGACCAAAGAATCCCTACTGCGATGTTTGTAGCGAAGCTAAAATGCTTGCTCCCTACGGTAGAAGCGTAGGCGGATCACAACATGTTTTGGCGCGTGGGTTTGGCGACCACATAGTGTGCGACCATGTTATTCCCAAGGATATTGAAGAAGGGATAGAAGGCCAAACGTCAATGTTGGTGATCAAAGATGTTTATACTCAATACAGATGTGTTTATCCTTCAGAAAACAAAACAGCCGATTCCATTGTGAAAGCTTTTAAACATTTTCTGAAGACTTCTGATATTGTTGGCATAGTGTATACCGACAACGCTCCAGAAATGCTGGATGCCATAGAAGAACTTGGTTTCAAGCACCAGACTTCTGTTGAATATCAACATTCCACCAAAGCGGTTGTTGAGCGTGAAGTCCGCACCATTTTGGAAGGGGCGCGCTCCAACCTCCTCCAGGCCAACATGCCTCTTTCTTTGTGGCCTTATGCCTCCAAACATCATGCGATGGCCATAAACATTGTAAAACAATTGAATGGTGGTGATCCACCATGGGCACTTCGCTTTGAAAACGGATTTCTTGGTAGGCAACTTCCTTTTGGAT